GCAAGTTTTGAAGCAAATTGTTGAGTGAAACATTTTATTTTCATGACCTTAACCATAACTCCCATACATTCCCTTATAAACCATACACAGGAACTTTGTTTGGGCTGCCTCTGAAATGTACAAGATATTAATACGCGGTCAAATAAAGATACCATTGATTTAACTTAAAAGGACGAATTCATCTTGACCTCACAATGGTTGAAAAAAATGTTCTATTTTTTTCACAACAATTACGGCAGATCAAAAGAAGCGGTCAACACTGAAAGTTCCCATGTGCACCGAAGTTATGACTGGCTAATGAATCAAAAAGAAAAAGCTAACTCAGACCTTCAAAAATTTAGGATGATAAGAGGCAGGGGTCAGGACAAATAGGGGCTAGACTTGACTAGTCATGAGTTAAGGTTGCACCCATGCATATCGCATTTTCATTCAGACACCACTCCATACAACTATATATACAGTCCTTTGACTAAACGTTGTCGTTTGATCAGCTTCATCCCTACGCGSCTAGACCGAAAAGGATCATAGGGATAATTAATTCACAGTTACTAGCTGCCGCATATGTTATCTAACACGTCTTGAGCTCGCTGTTTTCTATCCCATTTAATTTGCAAAACCATGCCTCGGGCATACGGCGAAAATTTAAACTGGCGAGCAGTTTGGATGACGCATGTTCTGGGTAATCTACCAGTTATCCTTTTCGGTCTAGGCGCGTAGGGATGATCCGATCAACGACAACGTTTAGTCAAAGGACTGTGTATACAACAATGTGCTTTACCAAATTTTCTGTTTAAAATAACAGGAAGCCCAGTATAGGAAAAGAGAGAGAAGAGAGAAAATGAACAAGTCAATTTAATTGACTAATTGATACATACGTTACGGAATTTCATATAAATATCCAAGATATTTCAGTTCAAAATGTCTTATAATTTGCTTATCAGTCGATAGTACTACGAACCAGTCACGCATTATGACTGACAAGCAATTACTCATCCTTCGAATTTCAATCTCAAGTCTTCAGCCTTGTTAAAAGCGCATTTTCTCCGATTTCCATTCGTACAAATTTATTTTTGCATGTACAATTACCTTCAGACACCACTTTTTACTAGCCATATCGGTATTTTTCTTGTTCTCGATCAATAATTACATTGAATTTTGTGGACACAATGAGGACAATGAATAAGTGTTTTACTAACAATTTTTTTGAAATCGAATTTTCTAAAACTGAGAAAACGTCGATGATCTTCATTGTGATGTCACATTACAGGCACAAAACGATCGAATATCTATCCTGGGGCGGCAAATGCATACATATTTCGAAACAAGTAGGTTATTTTAATAGACCAAACGTAGCTGAGGCTCCAGCAAATTAAGTCATATTTTGGCGGCACTGGGTGACGGGTGTCATGCAGTCGAAAAAATAGTCCATCTTTTTCTCTTTCTGTTTCAAATTTAAATGAAATGTACCGAGACTGGATTACAATCTGTCGTTTTGTTTAGTCCTTCTGATTGATGATGGTCAAGGTACTAGCATAAATTCGACTATAATGATAATTATGATAAAACTTTCAACAGGCATGATGCCAACGCTAGGTTTCGTTTTCTGTCATATTTTCTGTTCCTTATGAATTTTACCCAAAAAAAGAAAGAAAACTTACCGAAATAAAAGTTACTAACTAGTGTACTAAAAATATTACTTGAACTAGAAGCTAACCCTTCAGACATGTGCATTCAAAACAAAGGTTGACAAGACATGATAGATATGTAATTTCAAAACATCAGTTACTGACCCTTGTAGAGATTCTCTCAAGAATTCGTGGTCTTTGCTGACATTAAATACCAAAAGATTTAAGTCTTTCTGTACTTGCTTCACTTCATCGAAGAGCTTCTTCGGAAAGGGAGTGGGGAACAGCATAAAAGGTACATGATTGGATTTACCCGGCGTCTTTTTTGACTGCAGTAAAGCGCCATTCATCAAGGCATAGTCTTTGGAATTTCGAACTAGGTAATTCACCCTTTCTTTAGTGAGATTTTCACTTCCAAAATGAAGCTTGAAATCCATGGCAGCAATCTAGTAGCTTATTCTTTTTTCGTAGGTAATTTTAAAACAGCTATGAATCGAACTTATTTGTATGAAGTTATGAAGATTGCGTGATGTCTCGGCGCTAATGCCAGATATACCAGATTTACCCTACGATGTCTATCAAGCAACATTTACATAAAACCGAGCCTTATGAATATCATAATGTATCTTATACACCTTACTATTATTTTATTACTGGGTTGCATGTGTGGAACCTCAGTCGTAAAGTGACTTTGGTTGTTTTTTTGTTTGCTTGTTTGTTACTGGGTTGCCTGTGGAAACCCGCCCAGTCTTAAAACGCTTTTGGTTTTTACTGGGTTGCCTGTAGCAGCTCGCCCATTCGTAAAACGCCTTTGGTTCTTAGTGGGTTGCCTGTGGCAGCCCAGTCGTAAAATGCCTTTGTTTTTTTTTGTGTGTGTGTTCTCCATCTCGCGAAAAGTGCATTGTTGTGCAAGAGTACCCATACATGGATTTGAATGACGTGTTCAAAGATTCTGGGCTCATAGATTGGCTTAGCAGCTGAGGATGTAATTATAGGCTTTAGAAGTAATACAATAGTCCCTTCTACAGTTCTTTGCGCCATCTTGAAAGCTAGCCGTGCCTGTGCATCCAGACGGTGAGCTTGCAATGATCACGGAGACCTTTTTAAGGTGGCTCGACTGGGTTTTGTTTGTGGCGTACCTTCGAAGTTTGAAGGGGACATGCGTCGCTGCCAATAAATTAATTTCAAATAAATTATTATGACATGTCTAGAGATAGATTCAAGTTTTAAATGATATACAATTTATCATGATCGAAGTTACCATAGTAATACAGTGACGTCATGTCATTTTTTTATACATTCCATTTTTGGCGAAATAAGACGTTTGTTTTAAAAATTGTTTAACGGAACTTAAAGTTCATATGTTTGTCTTCAAGTTAACGAAGTTTCGAAGATTTGTATGGAAGCGTTTCGAAATAATTGCCGTCGGAACTTTTGGGCAACAGAAATGTAAACAATCCAAAGCAATTAGTTCATGTGACCGAAACCTTTCCTTTTTGGACTTGGGAAAAGCTTTTTTTGGGGTCATAGTGTTGTGTTACTATTCCAATAGTCCTTCTGAGAAACGGAAAGAAATCGCGTTATTCGATTTCGAGAAATATGATTTCAAGCCTAGTTAGTAAAGTTGTGCCATTTGATTATCTTGTCAAAGATTTCACTTGTCTTTACTAAAAATATTTAGAATTAGGATACAAATGTTTACGGAATTGAGAATATTATAAGATGTGTGTTAGTGACAGTAACCATAAACATTCGGTGTTATTCGGTGTTATCAGCCTCTCGGCGCCGCCACATGCAATATTGGGAAATTTCTTGTTCATTGTACAGTCATTTAGTGCGTGTATTGGTAAACGAAACACTCAAATCAGTCTCCCCCCAAATACGGCATTGCAAGGCACCTTTGTAGCACGCGGCGTAATCTTAAATGGAAACTTAGCATTGTAGCTTTTTAGTTGGAAGATTAGGAATAAGGTCGATGATTTGCCGACACTACTAAAGACAATCACCCCTTTCCGTATGTAGTGACTACACGAGCAAACTGAAGCTTGTGCCAAATAATAAAGGCCATGAGGTCGCATGATAACACGTGTCAGAAATGCTAGATTAAAATAAAATGCAGACAAAATAGGGCGTTATCACGTACTCAAGCATACGACATCCAGAATTCACTTACAACTGTTTCTGCTACAATTTTGTATATTTTCATATATTTCAACAACGTTTCTCTATTGCAAGCTTACGCTAGCTCTCTTTAACGTCCATCTTTAACAGATTGCCCCTTCAGTCTCTTAGTTCTGGTGCCGTCACAGATGGCTGGAAGCCATCATACATTGTACCCGTCTACCAAAAAGGGCGACCAAGCTCTCCATGAAAACTCTCGACCAATTTGACCTTTTTTTAAAAATCTTCTACTAATAAACACTTGGGACAGTTCTTGAAGGCCAAATTGAGACGACTGGCGTATCGCATCGCTGAATAATAAGAGGTCAAATAAGAGAAGCTAGGAATCTACTACAGKTTTTCCCCAATTACAATAGATCCTATCAACTGCTGGGGCAACGGCGCTAGGACAGACGGACTTATTCGTAGATACTACTAGAAGTTCACTGAATGCTTGTTTCTAAATAGATACTAAATAGTGCTCACTTATCCCCTTTCCAACCAACTGTCAGTGAACTCTATTTAGTATCTACGAATAAGTATACACACCGATATACAACCCAATCCGTCTGTCCTAGCGCCCTGGCTATCAGGTTATTTTTTATCGATCAATTTTTAATTATAAAAATAAATCACTTTTATTTAAGTGTCTAGTCGTTCTTAGCGCTAAATGATAATCATTTGCAAAAACATAACACTGTTTAAGGTGACTGTACTATTTAAGCACGGAATAATAATTACAAACCTTTTCTTTTTAGAAAGATATTTTATACAGAATTTAAAGTTGATTCCAAAAATGAAAAGAAAAATGGAGTGTCCACTGTGATCGTTTGCGAGAGATTGAATTTTGAATATTGCCACCTTGACAAGCTTTCTAAAGAAGAATGGCGGCCAACATAACGAGCCACACGCTCTTAGCAACCAAAAGACCCCCAACTGATGGGTATGTTTCGACTACCCATCAGTTGGGGGTCTCTCTACATTCCTTCTTGAATAAGTGATACTCCGGTGACAGATCTTGTAAATGCTTATAGTAACGCAATGTTAAAAGAATAGTACTACTTTGAGATTTCATCCTACTTTTCTAATTCACGGCTTGATAAAACATATTTATAATAGATAAGTCCAAATTTTACATGGCTGTAATGCGCTATTATTCCAATACTACAACACTACAATAATGTCGTGACCGAACGTTTGACCCCAGCCGTACTCGTGGCCAGATTATATTCGAGGTATTTACCTGATGCTAATAACTTTTCTTCTCTAAGCTGCTAACAAATTATATTAGGATCTTGAAATATTGAAACCACAATATAACCAGATTATGACGTCGCATCTTAGCAACTGGTACACCTGCTGTTCGCAAAGTTTTTTCGCTTTGAATAAAATAATTCATAACTCAAAAACTAAAAACTTTACGAAAGTAATTGTCTTACGACATCTACAGTCCATGGGCTTAACATAAGTTTCGTCATTTGCAGAAATTTGCAGACGCGTCTGCCCATTGTCTGTACATATTTATGAAAGTGTGTCATCTAAGGTACATAAAAACCTAAGATCCAATTTCGACTACAGTTGTGGGATATCTGATATTAAGAACTTGTTGGGTCTTGACAGCAATCCAGTCTGAAAATCAAAAAAAAAAAAAAAATTAAATCTAAAGGTCGTTAAAGTGGAATTTTTCCTTTCATATTTTGGAATCTTGTAGGCACGTATATTATATTTTAGTCAAAATAAAACAAAAAATTACGCAAAAGTTGGGTTACAGTATCCTGGGAATGAGGGCCGGCGGCAAAAGCGCTAAGCGCGCTGTGATTGGCTAAAACAGAATTCACCGCTCAGCTGGTTCGTGTCATAAGCATGTTGCGCACGACAGTTGTGAGGAGAAATCGTTTTGCATTCAAATGGGAATAAAGATGGCAGCCGCATGATTAAGTTCCATCCCAACTAGAATCTTAATTTTATGCACTCACCAAAAAAAAGCGGAGACAACTTTAGGTGTACATTTAAAGCGTATAAAGAATAAATACATAGGAATCCCAGTCAGGACAAGAAACGGCGAAATGAAAGATTCCAGTGGCTTCTTGATGAACGGTGAGATGGTTAGGTATAGTGAAATGAGTAAGAACAACACAGGAATGAAGATTGGAAGCTGTAACGAGTAATATATAAATCACTAAAATTAAAATAAACAAAACTGAAATGGAGAGAATATGGTGAATTTGGTATAACAGCGATGCACTGTTGACAAGACTGCGGCAAAGTTTGGTTCATTAATAATTAGCATTGTTATACATTGTACTCACTTAGCCAATCAAAAATCTTATTTTTGAAACGACAATGCCACAAAATATTGTCGTTTCAAAATATAAGAAAAAGATATCGGTCCGGTATCAATCTCGTACCCAGAGCTTGCGTTTCTTCTGGCCTGCGGCAAATAATCCATATTTTGGCGCATGCACAATTTTTGGAAGGTGAGATATAAACGATCAAAATAAGCAAAGTAAAGATTAAATCGAAGTCAAAATCAAAGTAAAATTTATAGTAAAATTAAAAATCGCGCTGTTATACCAGAAGTCCAAGAAATCCTGGTCTCAAAAAATGGATTATGCAAGAGCCCTCGTTCTTCACCGCAGGCCAGAAGAAACGCAGGCTCTGGGTACGAGGTTGGTATGGAATGAGACTCGCGTTAGTTAACGTTGCTATGTCGATCCCACAAGCTCAAGAAAGTTGCTTCAACTGTTTCATGTCCTGAGAAAATAAATGCCTCGTTATCCTTGTAGTACTCTTTAAAACAAATACTGTGTAATTGTTTGTGGGATAAGATCCTAATTCCACTGAGAAAACTGCTGCAACGGTGACTGGTTCGCTATTATCTGAGTTTGAACTATGAACTAGAATGAAGCCATGCATCTTACTTTAAAAGGTCTTGGAAGCTCAGGTCTTTTGTATCTCGTCCAGAGCAGACCAACTACAGTCACCGCGGTGCTGTACAGACTAATCAAACTCTGTATTGTACTCTTGTCAGGAATCAGCAACATACAGGCGAAAATGGTCGGAAATAACACACCTGCATGAAATATAAGCCAAAATTATGAATATACTTGAATTGACTTAGCTTTCTTCCATAAATTCGGTTGTAAATACCATACCTTGCGATATAAATAACAACGAAAGCACCTCCATGTTAGTTGCCATCTAACACAACAAACACGGGTGATCTCTATGTCGTCTTTCATATCCAACTGCTATTTTAATTGCTTTGTATTTTATGAACCAAAAAAAAACTTGCTCGGTGGATTGTGTTTAGTTATGGAGGACTTGGCGAATGCAATCTTTAATTTTCTTCATATGAATTAAGATTACAACGTACCCTGAACAGCATTGCTGAAATAGGCGTTCTTTGTGTTCTGTGAATCATGGCCATGAAGCTTGGTAGATGACCCTCTCGAGCTGCAGAAAACATTACTGCAAGTGATGAATATCAACTGTGTTACCACATGACCCAAAATCCCTCGAGATGAAACAGACGCCATGTTGGTTGAACTAAATAGTGGATCTAATGAGGAATGCTTTGTTATCGTAAACCAAGATGGCGGCTATGACGTCACATGCACCCAAAGAATTATAATACTTCCCGTAATAGAGAGCCGGCAGCGAGTACCAATAGACCCAATGGTTCTAAGTCGAGGTTGAACTTGATTTGTTTATACATTTACTGTATTTATCAAGCTCAACCTAGACTTGGATCCACTGTGTCGTGGTCATTCAAGCCAATTTGGTAATTAAATGTCTAATTTATGAAATTCCATGCCATTGAAAAGAAAAATCGAAATATTGAAATACTGCTTGGACAGATTGTCTTTGATGGTTATTTTTTCATTTAGGTGGTGCATGGATGTAAGGCGCGCGCTTTTGTGAGTGTCCAGGTTAGTTCTGATAACATAACTATCAAAGACAGTCACGGCTTTTCGTATTCCAACATGAAATCAGAAGCTTGTTAAGAAATTAAGTGATCTGCTAGGAAGTCTTCCTTTTGTCATGTTATCTTTACTTAATGATTATTAAGGACCATACTTCCAGACATCGAATGCTGAACCGTCGTATGGCAGCGCAAAAACATTTACGGCTACGCCGGAGATTTCGGCCCCGACACCGCTATCCGAGGATTTACAAACTGATCAGGAAGCTCGGCCGAAGCCTAAGGGAGAGGTTAGTCGGCCCCTAGACCGTAGATGATTAACCCCTTGCTATGAYCAGCAGACCAAAGTATGGGATTTGTCGCTATAGGTTAAGAATCTATGATCATTGCTTTCACATGTGGGATGCTTCGAAAAACAATACAAGACTTAAATTTACACACAAACGTACTCTTATATGTTTTAAATCGAGCTTGTAGTAGGAGTTTTTTAATAAATGAGAAAATAAAAAGGAAAAAAAAAATGCGATAAAGTAAAGAAAACTGATATACAAATGATACACAGCGCATGCGCATGTGTAGTCAAAACAAGAAAAATCAAGTATATTATTACATACAATTATTTAATGCATTACGAATATGGTCAGGACGTAAATATGTAGATTGAAAAAATATCGAGCGAGAGCTAGCCGTTTGTGACTTAAATTCTGAAAAATGTATTAAAGTTTCGAAAGTAAGGAAATAACTAAGAAAGTGCGATTTAAAGAAAACCTCCTATGTATAAACGATCAAATTAGCGCCTGCGTAGCGCCAACACCTTTCCCCCTCCCCCCAATTTGTGCCGCTACGCAGGCTGCGATCAAATRTGCTCAATGATTAGTGTGAAATGTGTGCATATTTCTATTGAGAAAATAAGGCATTCACAATATTGAACGTGATTTTCTTCCTTGGCCGCCATCTTGGTGTACCACGGAGGTGCACCAAGATGGCGGACGGGCGCACAGATTTCACACTAATCATTGAGCACATTTGATCGTAGCCTGCGTAGCGGCCCAAATTGGGGGGAGAGGGAAGGGGGAAGGGGTGGGCGCTACGCAGGCTAATTTGATCGCTTATATCTTCAAGTTTCAAGTTTCAAGTTCATTTTTATAAAAGAATGTCTATATTTACACAATTTATCACCCTCCCGCAAATAGCACTAAGCTAATCTAGGCGGGAGGCGATATATTACATTAAATAAATATTTGAAGATTTACAAATAAATATGAAGATAAAAAAATGAAAAACTAACAGTTAAATTACAATAAAGAAACGAAAAGGGAAAAAAAGAGAAAAAGGAAAAATGATACTAACCAATGATTGAAGATCAAGAAATATAAAGATTTTTCAGTTATATCTCAAAAGGTATATGGCGAGAAGATTTTCTATTTTCATTTTATTTTGCCTGTATTCTTCTGGGAATACTGAGAACTTACTATTCAAAAATGTGGTGGGTTTTGAGAAGCAGATCACTGAATTTCATTTTTATTTTCGATGCAAACCAACAACAGCTACAAAAAGAAATAAACAAAAACAAAAAAAATTATAATAAAACGACAACAATAAAACGAAAAAACAACAACAACACAAAACAACAACAACAACAACAAAACAAAAAACAAAACAGAACAAAACAATAAAAAAGGACTAAAATATAACCATCATCTTAAGGTGGGATTTGAACTCTGCACTTAAAAATTCAAGAAAAAAAGTCAATTCCATTGTGCCATAACCCTAGACATCCGAAGAGCTGAGGCGTCGTATCTATGGACTACGGACCTGACGGCAATAACCAAGTCTTAATCCCTTGCACTCTGCCAAACACGTTTTCACATCTGTTATTATGCTAATGTTCACGACCATAGCCTAGTGGAAAAAAATCTTGGGCACTCAAAATACTGAGTCAAGTCCGGTTAAGAAGGGTTAGCACGTGCACTTGCTTGGGGAACCTAAAAATATATATCAACACAACTTTCCTTTCCTTTTCTTTCCTTTTTTTCTCAATAATAATCAATAATAATCATTTTGATTTTGTTTGCAATTGGTTTTTGTGATTTGTAAGTAAAAACGCCATGACCCCTTCCCCACCCGAATTTATTTAGTTGCTCCAAGAGAAAATGAACTAAGAGAAGGAATTCCCCCTATATAGCCTTGTAACCATCAAGTGCACAGTTTGATGYTATTTTTAAACCATTTGTTTTTCTGCACGCGCATTTACTGCGCGCGCTCTACGCTGTTTGCTTACGTTTTTGTTTCCCCCCCGTTATTTCGCCTCTGCCCTGGATATGAATGTGCACKTCGAAAGCTTGGAAAATACGACAGGAAATTGAAGTAGTAATTTGTTCAAATTTCTGGAGTATTGTTGCATTTATTTTCCAAAGCTTTCGAACTACATCTTCATCTTGAGGCAGATTTGAACATTTGAACATACTACATAAGAAAARCACAAGAAAACGTTAGCAAACAGCGTAGAGCGCGCGCGTACTATGMGCGTGCATAAAATCAAACGATCAAATAAAYGATATCATTGGAAKATATTTTTAGAATTGATTCTAAAAATAGCATCAAAGTGTGCACATGATGGGGCACGGGGATTCCTTCTCTTAGTTCATATTTTCTTGGTTACTCCCTATTAAAACAATATATATATATATATATATATATT